ATCTATGTAAGACTCTTTGTACATTGTGTACAGTCTTGTTACCATATGTATCTGGTACTTTTTACCCAAATTAATAACATGGTACTGTAGAGTTTGTACCACCTGCTTAACCAGTTTATGCCTTCAAATTCTCTGTCATTTCAGTGTAATTTAGTTAGATTGCTTTGGACCTCGGCATCATTTTGCCCAAAATAATTATCTAGTACTTTGAAGTCTGTACCTCACACTTGCCTAGCTAATACTTAGAGATTAAGGCCTGTTTAAAAAATATATATATATATATATAAACAATAATTGTGCATTCAAATGTGAAGAAGTGTGTTCTCTGCAGAGGGTGTGTTAACTTAATAAACTATGGAATATGACCAGGGTGCCCAAACTTTTGCACATGATTATACATTGGAAAATGTGCTGCATTGAATTCACTTTGTTAATTGCCAAAAGAACAAAATATGAGATCAACACACAATTTTGCCTTTCAGTGTATATATATATATATATATATATATATATATATATATATATATATATATATATATAAACGTTCGGTCTGGTGTAAGAACAAGTAAGAACACGTGGCTGCTCGGAGAAAGGAAAGCAGAGGATCACACTGAATGTGACTTCAGCCTTTAAAGGACCGCTATTGGCTTGCGATGACGTCATGGTATTACACATCCAATCTCAAAGTGAGCTCGTCATCCCTCAAGAAAATAAATAAATAAGGAACAAATAAATATATAAATAAAGTTCAGACTTTGGAGTTATGAACAGTCTTGTACTCCATCCACACTTTAACTGCCGTTCTGAGTGAAGCAGCTCATCCTGCTCTCAGGTAACTGGATCAAAAGGCCGCTGTCCAGTACTGGCGGTGCTGAAAAGACCAGAATCCTCCCCCCCCACCCCCCACCCCCCACCTTCCCAGCCCTTATAGAGCTTCCACAGAGCATGGGGGGCTTCAACAATTCCTAAATAGGTTCACTTTACAGCTTATACATGTTTCTTTCAAAATGAAGAACAATGCGCAGCGCGTTCAGACTGACTCAGAAATGTGGGAACTGGAGAAGATCACGGTCAGAAAAGTGAAGCAATACTACACAATAGGCTACTATTATTTCAGCTATAACCACAAAGGACATACCTCAACGATAATGTGCATCCACAGAATGGAATACGAAATAAAAAGGTCTGCTTTCCTTTTCTGGAAAAAAAAAAATAGATCCTCGTTAAAGAAGCGCAGCCGGATCGTGAATCACTGCTGCGCTTTACTGTCCGAGGTGAGACAGAAACAATAAGTCAGATCTACCTGTTGCTCCCTCGATCTTTACTCTGAAGGCTACACTTAACAGAAAATGACTTTAAATGTTTCATCTTCCAGGTGAAGTTCGTTCTTGGTGCGTAAAATCCCCAAAGCACCCCAGTGCGCGCAGATCCTCGCGTAGTTTCCAAGCAATACATGCATTTAACCGAGTTTAATCATAGAGTATAACGCGTCCCCTCAAACGCTTTGAGCCTCTTTGTTAACCAGTTTGTCTAATTCTCCTCTTACTCCATTCAGCTCCTGGCTGCCTCAGTCCCTTCACAAAGTCACTCTCTCGAACAAAGGAATCACCATCCGCTTTGGGCTCAACTTTTTTTGGGAGCTGGTGCATCATCCTCGACAAAAGTTGCTCTGACCTCCAGACAACCTACTATTTAATTTCCCCAGACAGACCTTCACGCAGCATCCACCCCCAAAAAGTGAGCAGTCTCCGTTTTCCTGGCCTTAAGGTTGCTGTTCCAGTTCAAATGAGGGTAAAAGAAACTTCCAGTGTTTCTTTGTATTGTAATGCTCTTTGTCTCCACGTGCGAATGCAGCATTTTGGCCACGCCCTTGCTCCGTTTGGGACCCCGCCCTCAGGCGTTACACCACTGAACCGAAGTTTGGTGGGATGGTGAAGCAACACCTGCCAATCCTGAATTCACTCTGAGCTTGTGACTAATGTAGAGTTTAGGCTTTATATATGCATATTAGTCTAGTCTGCATATATGCATTAGTCTAGTCTGAAAACTTATGCTTAATATCAGAAAAATATTACAGGAAAAATATATGCCTTGTTTCCATAAGGAGACCCTTTTTCCAGAAAAACGTAAAATGTTTATATTAAAAATATTCAATAGATGTTCTTACATATACTTTAAGCTCTGTTATATTAATAAGCATTTATTATATAATATTCATCTCATGCAGTTTGACTGTAACCTCAATTGGCACATAGAGGAACATCTCAGTGGTTTGTTACACTGTTAAAATACGTGCTTCTCCAAGGCTTCATTGATAAGAGAGCCAAAGGGTTTAAAGATAATAAAGAACCATGACAACTAAAAATAAAAATAATAAAAAAAAAAACAACTAAAAATAAAATGAATGCATAAATATTTTTCTGCATGGTTAAATTGTTCTCTGTGTTAGGAAACCAGCTATGTATGGTTGTTTAAAGAACCTTAGAAATGGTTCTATACAGCACCGAAAAGGTCCTGCTATCAATAAGGGGTTGTCTGGAGTGATGTCATAGTAGAACCACTTTTGTTTCCTTAAAGAATCTTTTAACAACCTTTTTTTTTTAAAATAAGATGTGCATTTTTAAAGTTTAAAGAAGCTAAATGTCCTATATCATTTCAGTTTTGCCTAGAACCGCACATCCAAGCCAAGCACCATTTAGGTAGGAACCTTTATTTTTAGCAATGCGTGACTGGATTGAATCAGTTCGTCTACAAATTAAACATTAATGAGAGAGGACTCACATCAAAAGAACATGAATGCAGAACAGTTAAATATCTACATGACCCACAGACCCACGAGTCGCTCGGCCGGATCACCTTCCTCTGGTTAGTGCCCTGCGAATCACAACAGGAAACTCTGCACCGTGAACAACCACCACTGAACAGCAGACTCAGTGTAGAATACAATAAAATCAATACATGTATCTATTTATGCCACATGGTTCACATACATGAAGTCTAATAGATGAGTTTATTTCTTTACACCTGCTCTGAGACACCTTGGTGTCCATGAAATTGTAGAATAGATTTAAACATTTACGCGAAAGCCTTCCGCCTCCTTCTCACCATCCTCGTGCCCGACGCACACACACCCAGAAGGAATTAATTGGTTTAAGCAGCCGTTCCCCTTGAACCCCCCCTCCATCTGTCTGACACCCCTCCCCCCACTGTCTAGACCCTCTCCCTGGAATATATGCCCCTCTATGAACATTAGACTGTGGCATTAGCCACTCCGTGCTGCCATGTGCCACGAGCTGTGATGATCCGGGCTGATTACTCAGATGTGATTAGAAATGCTCTTCTATCAGCTTTACGGCAAGCTGATCCGTTCACATTTCTGCACGCAGTCGTATGTGTTTAATTGCCTCATAGATGAATTATTCATTTAAAAAATTAATAAATAAGTCTGGCATCTCTAAATGAAAGCATATTCATGACCTAAAGGTTTCACCACTTGCTTCATATAGCCTACTTTAGAAGATAGCTTCCCAAGAGGATTATTACTGTTTAATCCAAGTTCATTTATATGCTTTATGTTGTTTCAAGCCTCTGCCTTGGAGTGGAGACCACACTGGTCCAGTCCTTATCGAGGATTATTAATAAATCACATATTTGGCTATGGACAAATCGCCAGTTAAACCTACCAACTGTCCACCGCTTTTAAAAATGGGTTCTTAGAGCGATGCCTTGGGAGAACCACTTTTGGTTCTCTCTAAAAGCATGTTTGCGTAATGTGAATGTTGTGTACCAAGTTAAGGGTATTTCCTAGAACCTTTACAGCATGTAGATGTCCTTTAAACATGGTCCTTTACACTCACACCTCATTTACAAAAGTGGTCTCCAAAGAACCGTCCACTCAATTAATGAATGGAAAGGCTGTCCGACTGCACCACATGGCATACATCATATCGACTTACCTGAGAGGTGTCTGACGTGGGAAGGTGTGAAGGTGTGCATGCTTTGAACAGTCCACGTGGTTGAGATCATGGAAGCAGCTGTAGATCTTCAGCTATAATTCATGTCACAACCTGAGTGTACATGATGTTAATGACACTGAAAAGTGGATACATGCAAACATTCAGCAAGGCATAAAGGAAAACAGTCTCACAAGAGGAGCTCAGTTCCAGCTGATTTTATTTCCTTTTGGAAAAAAAGACAAAGTTTTTGTACAGAGGTCTGACAGGCAGTGACTGGACACAACTGGCTGGCTTTGAATTCTCTACTCAAAAGAGATATGGTATGGCAAGACAAAAACAATATTGTACACAGCATATTGCACAAAATGAAACGTTTAAAAAAAAAAGTTTATATATATATTTATCCCAAAAAACTCATGAACAACAATCTTAAACGTAGGGATGTATATATATATATTTATATATGTTCAAGTGCCCGTCGTAATAAATCAGTCAGACAAACACGCAGTCTTTACCTATTATACAATCAATGTACATGGAAATCTTCACGTCGATCCTTCTTCGCCTTAAAACACAACAGCTCTACATAAACCTGAATTTGAAAATAGAACACAACAAAAACAACAAAAACAAAACCAAAAAAAAAAATGCTATTCGCCATGCCATAACATACTAAAACGATCAGCTACATTTAGCCAACAAGTAGAAAAGATTAAATAACGCTTGCACATTTAGGAGTGAAGCAGTACTTCATTGTTCGTGGACTCGTATAGGCATTTTGAATGTATTTCATTTCCATCCAGTGGTTAAAACCGAGCGTTTTCACTATAAAAAAGCACAAAGGAAATAGTTAAAAAGGACCCATAAGTCACTGCTACATACAGCCTCGTTCAATGCTCCTTTTGCAATGTAAGGTCAGGTAATGCTTGGCTGGTGAAAAAAAAAAAAAAAAAAAGAGACACTGTGTCTTTAAGATGCCTGTGGACTGACACTGTAAACATGGCTAGGGGGATAGATTGTGAGCCAACCGCCTCCAGGAAAGGAAAAAAAAAAAACAGCGATGTTCTTGATAAATTTGTACAAAAATACACGTAGAAAATAAACGAAACGTTTCGATTCTCCTTTCTCCGCGTGAGAGGTCATGAGTTAAATAACACGATGCAGTTCTAGCCCTTCTGCAAACAGAGACGGACGTGTGCACAAGAAGACAGATGAGAACAGCTTTAAACAGAGGAAAAATCAAAAGTACAAACCATTATAAATACATCGATATAAAAGTGTCCTTTTTCTTCTGAGCACAAAGAAGTTATAAAGCTGGATGAAAAAAAGGGAAAAAGGCAAAAAGGGAGAGAAGTTTGGTCCTGATTTTTTTTTCTCTCTTCTTTTTTTTTTCCTTTGTAGTGTAGAAAGTTGAACCGTCTGAGTTGCGTTTTTGAATCCTGACAGGAAAAGCTGGTGATTGTTACTTTCTTTTTTCAGTCTTTCATGGCGCTGCAATTCTCATTAAAAAAAAAACAACACAGTTCATTTTCAGACTAAAACTCAACCAGCATGCTTTTTCAGTCTCTTTCTTTACTTCTCTCTTTCTTTACGCCTGGCTAAAAAACCACTCCGTCCAAAGGAATTGCGGATTTCCTCGCTAAAAATGATCGCTCACCTTATTTTGCGCCAAAGTTCTCGAGCGTGAGTCCATTTAAGTTGAACAGAAACGGCCGGACAGCCTCGTCTTCCTCTTCGCCACTGTGCAATGCTTTTCCTCAACACTTAAGTCATCGTCTTCAGCCACCAAACGAGCAAGCTAAGCGTTTTTATTTTCAACTGGCGTGGGCGTTTTGGAGACGACCCCACAGCAATGAGAGAAACAGGAGAAAGCATGTTAGGTTATCATGGCTTTGCCCCCCCAGCATGGACCACGTTTAGGTCCATCTTCACGTCATCAACTTCAGCTGGACTTGCTTATAGGCTCATAACAGTCAGTATGTGAAGACCAAGTTGGATATGGTGGACTCCAGCCAGTCTCCAGAGATCATCTCACTCACCTCTGGCGTGCAGTAGTCTGGAAAGTCGAAGTGCGAGCCGGAGCCGGACTCCAAGCCCAAATCCAAGTCTCTGTCCAGGGACACGGCGCCGAATCCGCCCAGGCCGCCGAACCCTGGACTCGGGTTGAGGTCGAGGAGGTCGTCCTCGAACTCTTCGTCCGAGGAAGAGGAAGAGGAGGACGACTGGGAGGACGAGTGCGAGGCTGAAGGTGCCGGAGAAGAGGCGCGCGCGTGCTTGAAGTTGCGTGGGGCCAGCATGGCTGCTGCGCCAGATGTTTCCACCTCCTCTTTGCCGTCCTCGTAGAGGCTCAGCGGGTCGCAGGATTCGGCGGAACTGCTCAGAGTCGGGCTGGACGGCACGGCCACGCACAGCGGCTGGCTCTCGGACGCGCCCCCCGCCGAGGAAGCGCGCTTGGCCGGCTTGGCTGACGACGCCGCCCGTGGCTTGTAGAGCGAGTGGTGGTCCACGCCGGGCTGCTCCAGCGCGGTGGATTTCCTGTGCGTCTTGAGGGGTTTGCCCCCGTGGCTCTTCTTGGAGGAGGGCTTGCCGCCCGGGTTGCCGCCCACTTTGTCGCCAGCCTTGCTGGAAGAGGAGGAGGAAGAGGAAGAAGACGAGGAGGGCTTGACTTTCTTCCTCGGTCGGTACTTGTAGTCCGGGTAGTCGGCCATGTGCTTGAGCCGGAGCCTCTCGGCCTCTCTGATGAAGGGGATCTTGTCGCAGTCGCGCAGCAGCTTCCAGCGTTTGCCGAGGCGCTTGGAAATCTCGGCGTTGTGCATGTCCGGAGACTGCTCCATGATCTTCCTGCGCTCGATCTGCGACCAGACCATGAACGCGTTCATGGGCCGCTTGATGTGGCCGCTGGGGGTCTTGCACCACGCCACGTCCAGCTTGTCCCCGGCCAGGGTTGGAGAGCCCGGGGACGGCGAGGCGGAGGAGGAGGCGGCCGTGGCCGAGTCTGGGTCCATCTCACCCGGGTCGATGGAGTCGCTGAGCGGCAAGTCCGCGCTGGTCGCTGTGATGGACTGAGCCACCATGACTGACTGCAGCTGGTGCTCAAACAAAGTCTGTGGGTTCAGTGGGGAAGGTAAAAGTTTCAGCACGAGGCAGCAGATCTGTCTGCCCACTTTGCCACTACCACCACGCGCGTGGAAAAGTTACTTGCAGCACGTCTGAAAGTGCGTGCGCTTGGCTCTTCTTATCTCCCTGCCAGTGAACCGTCTCCAACACGCATATCCACCGCGTGGATGTCAGTGGGGGGAAGTTTCTTCCAAAATAAGAGCCAAGCAGTCAGTTCTGATATTAATGATAGTGATAAAAAGGGGTGCATATATATAAAAACAAAAAAATCACAGCAGAGTGTAGCTCAACTGCCAGTGCGACTGAAAACGAGCCCAGTGCCTCTGTGGATCCACGAAAAAACGCGCAACTTTGCGTCTTCAGCACGGTGCTTGGTCCGAGCGCCACGCGGTTTGAGTGTCTGGCGGCTGCGCTCTCTCATAGTCCCGCTCACTGCTGCCCCACTGTCTGCGGTCAACAGCGCCTCGCGCCACGGCTTTATGCTTTTGCACAGCCATAAAGGCGAGAGAAAACGACCAATCAGCGCCTGTCTCCAGCCTGTCCCGGGTTGAACCACGCCCCCGCCGCGCTCCCATTGGCCCAATATCGTCTCCAATAATAATCGGTGCGAGCAATGAGGAGCTTCGCGTCTGACCTCATTCCACTCTGCGCGGAGAAACTTAGTTTTAAAGGTACATGATGCTCTCTTTTTATTGATTATTATTAATATTTTTTACCTTTTTTGCGTCTTTGTCCATGGACAGGATTTGATTAGTTAATTAGTGAACAATGATTAATTGATTAGTTCATTCTTTTTTTTAAATTATTATTATATATTTTTTTAACATCTTTTCTTAGTTGGATAACTTAAGCCAAAAGTGAGGTCCAGTAGGGACAGTCATGACCTCCTATAACTGGACAGGCTTGATTAGCAAACAAACAAACTGATTGTGATTATGCAATAGCATACTAATTACATATAACATAACAAACTATGCTTAATCAACATGATCAAAAAATTATACTACTCTTAATCCTGTCATTGAGTGGGCATCTTCCCATTTACCTTTATGCATTTGCATATTGACATTATGCATTAATTACAGTGTAAGAAGCAGAGGCTGGGTGTCGCACATGGCACGCGCTTGGCTCTCTGAGGCAGCATGCTTGTGTTTTTGTTTCAGCTCCTGCTGGAGAGAGCAAGAGCAATGGGGGAGCGAGCGAGCGAGGGAGAAAGAGAGGGAGAGAGAGAGACTCTGCCCACCAGACTGGAGACACTGAGGGTGGAGTCGAGGAGGGAGGTTGGTGTCCTTCAGTATGGTTTTTTCCCCTCTCCTGCTCACTGCACATTGTAGTGCTTCTCCTGCTCTAACAAACACATTTATGTGTTTGAATGGCTCGGTAATGAGCTGGTGGGTCGAGGCAGGTGGGTTAGGGCAGGGAAAACATTCTGAGGGACAGTAGATTATTGAGGAACACTGCTTCAGTGCATCAGCCACATCAGAGAGCATAATATACTACTTAGATGGGTATTTATGCATCCAGAGATTAAAATTCAAAGCACATATTCTTAGACAGTGCTAAAATATAGGCTACTATATGGCATTATATAGCCATCCCTTTAGGTTATGGTAAGGATTAAAGATGCCAGTGCTGTTTTCATTGTCAAAACAGTGCTGCCAACCTGGAAGCACAAACACACGATGCAGTCAGCCCTAGGATCTGTAGAGCCTGGAGTCTTTCAGTCTCCTCACTGGCTTTCTGGCACCCGTTGAAAACCATTCATCCACTAGATGGCATAGTAGAGCCAATGTAGGGTGGAGGAAATTCATTATTTAATTTTACACAAAGGAAGTGACTGGTGAAGAATAACTGTTTAATCTAGTAGAAGCATACATCTGAATATGCATTACGTAATCCGTTCAGCCACACTCACATAGTAAAGTTAAAGCTAATTCGAGGCTGATGTTTGAGCTGGCTTTCTGAACAGCAGTCCTTTCCAGCATCTCTGACTCAAAGCACTGGCACATATAAAAACATATACAGAGCTATAGAGGGTTCATATGTAATGATCTCCCAGCTTGGAGTCAGTTGTAACTCATATACAGCAGCGATCATGCCAAGGCTTGTTTTGTGCTGAAAGGGGTGATGAATATTCATGAGAGTTATCTTCAGTGACTGTCTGGTCCCTGTGAAGCGGCTACTCTGTCCCGCGTATCGAGCGCCAGGGCAGCTGGTTGCCCTACAGCACTGTCAACAAACATTTACAACCTCAGCACTTGTACTTCGCTGGGAACAGGCAGGTGGGTTCTGTGCAGATGAAGGAGTGGAGGTGTGCTAGTGTTCAAAAGTTTGGAATCACAGTTTCAGTGTTTTCAATGAAATCATTAAAAACATTGCAGATTAATGTATGAAATTACTCCATTATGATGCTCTACAGCTCCACAGATTTTAGAAAGGGTTCTATAGCACCAAAAATGGTCCTTCTGCTCTTACAGGCTTGACATGAAAACAATAGAAGAACCCTTTTTGGTGCTATACAGAACCCCATTCAACAAGATTGTACATAGAACAATCTATAGCACATTCTCCATCAATCTGAAGAACGCTTTAATCATACAGAGTGTTCTTTGACTGTTCATGGTTCTATATAGAACTATCTTCTTTACTAAAGAACCCTTGAAGAACCATCATTTTTAAGACTGTACCAAAAAAGTGTCCTTTGGCTTGTAACAATAATGGAACTCTTTTTGGTGCTATAGAACCATCTACAGTGCATTCTCTATCAATCTGAAGAACTCTTTCATGATGCAAAGAACCCTTTAATCATGCAGAGAGGTTTTTGAGTGCTCATAGTTCTATATAATACCATTTTCTTTACTAAAGAACCCCTGAACAACCATAATTTTTAAGAGTGCACAAGAGTGTTCTTTGGCTTGTAATAGCAGAAGAACCCTTTTTGAAGGGAACCTTTTTGAAAAAGGGTTCTATATAGAACCATCAACAGCACATTCACCATTAATCTGAAGAACCCTTTCATGATGCAAAGAAACGTTTAATCATGCGCAGGTTTCTTTGAGTGTTCTTGGGTCTTTATAGAACTATTTTCATTACTAAAGAACCCTTAAAGAACCATCTTTTGGAGTGTGTAGTTGAGCTGGTTGCACTCTCTGCTTCTCACAATCCAAGTAATTGTAAACACATTAAATGATGCTGAGGTCTGGACTCTGGGGTGGTCAGTTTGGTTTGATGTTTCGAAAAAAATTGTGAAAGTAGTGAATAAAACATCTCGAAATACCTTCTGGTGTCTGGCTAGTTTTTTTTAATACACAAGTTATTATTAAGTAAAATAACAGTAATTTCAAACTTTTGAATGATAATTTATATACTAAATTAACCTATCAATCATAACTCATAACTTACCATTTGAACGGCCCTTTTATGATATCATTTTATGGAAGCGGTCCATGGAAGTTTAATCGTTCACTTTGTGCTACCACAGTGTTGTCCGAATAACACTTCTCACATTTTGCCACTGTTGTCATGGCAACCCCCCCCCCCCAAGTATTTGGTCTCCAAATGGTAAGAAGTATAGATCAGTTTTAGCTCAATTTTGTTTGGCTGCACATGTGCTGAAGGCTCTGGACTGCCCTCAACCTTCTGAGAGGAACCTCTGGGCTGTTTATCTTAACTTCTACCTTCTCACACAAAGCAGAACATGGTTTTTTTTTTTTTTTTTTGTTTTTTTTTCTAGATGCTTTTGTGTTCTTTATCAGAAAGAATGACATGCAAAGGATTCATTTGCATAGGACAGTTAGATGTTGGGTTGATTATTTACACACAGTGTCAATGGTTCACTTAGAGTACGTTATAGTTGTCAGGTAGATGAATTAGAGCTGGGATCAAGGCAGACAGTGTATGCACTGTGTGCACTGTGGATTGGAATGCTAGACCGAGCTGTAATGACACGGTGTGGTGGATTGTGCTTTGGAGTTATTTGTTTTAACCTTCCTGACCCGTCTCCTCAGTGCCTGACTAATTTTACCAACCTCATTGGCTGTGTTGTTATACAATAGGCCTTTTTGTGTGTATGTGTGTCTCCTAGAGAGAGATAGCTTGTTTCCACTGTGTCTGTTAAACTGAACTGGAAAAGGTCCAGTTACTCTGAGGTCTAAACCGGCTTGGGCAGGTATTTCCCTCCACTTTGCATTTTATGTTCGTGCTATTCAGGACAGTTATTCAAGTTTATGTGTTTCCTTCATTCCACAGTACCTGAGTTACAGCAACCTATGGCTGAACGATTCAGAGAAATGACCTAATTTATGATTTTTCTGACCAATATTGTGAATGTGGTTTAAAGTGAGATTATCTTATGCAAATTAAGATCCAGGCCTGTTTTTTGGCCAAGAAAACTGGATTCATTTTTCCTGAATTGAGGCTTGAACACTGAACTTATAATGCCAGACTATCAGTTAGTTGTGTTGTCATGTACACAGCACAAGGTGGGTTTTCAATGCTGCTGATTGGTCAGAACACATCTACAGGCAATTCACTGTTAGCCTTTTAAAATCCAAGGCTTCTTACGTACTAAATCTTATTATTGAGTAACTACAGGGACTTTAATGCAAACTGTTTGAGCTGTTCTTAAGTTACAGAAGTGTGTGATAAAACGATGGGCCTGTCTGTGAGCGCTGGCCATTTAAGGGGTTAAATTTATCCACTTAAAACTTGCTAAGGCTGTTGTTGATAATGTAGACAGGGGTACTCACTGCTGGCCCTGGAGATCCACCATCCTGAAGAGTTTAGCTGCAACCCTAATGTAACCCCCAACCCCCGAACCACCCCAATCCAAGCAATGAAGGCCTTCATGGGCATCTAAATATTGTAGCCAGGCAATTCAGCCCTACTGCTGAGTGAAGTCAAACTTTGTGATTTTGCAAGTATTTATGATTTTCAGATAATATAATCTAGAAAATGACATTTTTAGCATAGGTAGACCTGTACAACGATCAAGCATGGATAGTCTTGCAGGGCCAGATGTGATCTCATGATGAGAATGTCTGTAAATAACCATTAGAAATTTTGGGTTAAATGATTTTGTTGAATGTAGACTTTTTATAGTATGAACAAACTGAATCTGAACCATGTCGTTAGCCTATGAATGTAACGTTAGCATAGCTGAAAAGTCCTCCCAACAAACCTCCAATTAAACATGAAGATGTGTATCATCTGTGCAGAGAACAAATTATATGCACTAAAAATAAACATTACGTATCGCAAGGGAAAAAGAGTTACGTTAGTTAACTATAGCACATAACTTACTAACTTTGTTATCACATGGACTCCAAACATAGAAAGAGCACGGACAAGAGGAATTTTGCGGTGGGTTTGGAGGGTGTGTGCCCTTGTTTGCAGTGGATTTCACCACAATCTAGCACTAAAAGTTGGACAAGTTGGAATC